GGTCGGCGCGGAGGGGCTGCAGTGCGCGAGGAGCGGCTCCCCCTGGGTCCTAGGCAGCCCGGTTCATCTGACAGCTACGAGCCCGCGCGCACACGCGCCAATGGGCGCAGCCGCAGCATGCGCTCCTCGGCCTGGGAAATGTGTACGCACAGGCAAAAAAAAAAACAAAAAAAAAAACCACAAAGGAAGGAGATTCAAGGGCAGGGATCACATCCCTCAGCCAGCCTCCAGAAGAGGAATCCAGGACAAATTAGGCAAGACATTTGAAATATGGCACTGAGTTAGGGCACAAATTTCAATTTTTAAAGGATTTGGAGCTTTATTTAGACATTCTTTGGTAGAACAGCCTCCACAATTTCCACTGGAGGTTGACTAACTTGGCACATTCAGTGACTTAGAATGCATGAATTATCAGAAGTTATTGGTTTCTGAGGGGTTTATTTAACCTACAAATACTTATTAATTAAGAGCATGCTGTGTGCCAGGTATTGTGTTTCCGTCACTGGGAATGCATTAGTAAAAATAAAAAAAAATTTAGAAACCTTCAATCCCTAGTCCCAGCACTCTCCTCCCCCACCTCTTACATTCAGGTGGTACTTGGTGTTGCCAATTTGAGCTATTTACTACATAGTGGGTTGAACATTTGTAAGCACCCATCATATTGGAAATCTTAATTTAGTAGTGTCTGGTCAACAGTAAAGCATATTTTCTAAAGGCTTGTGAGCATCTTAGTTACCAACCTTTTGCCATCCAGAAATGATGAAACTAAAAAATGTTTGGTTATATTCTGATAGGTGTGTAAGCTACCCTGAAACCTTGGATTATTCAGCACCTAGTTCTGAGTCTCCCTAGACAGCAAATCCAACTGACTTGTCCCCATTGTTCCTTCAGGGCAGTTTCGGGAACATACTTGGGCATACCTGATTTCTAGAACCAGGACTGGAGCATGCTGGGAAGTCAGAGCTGATCTGAGACTTCAGTGTAGTTTTTTGAGGGGGGGAAATTCTGATAATTAGAGCCACAGCCATGATAGACCTCAACCCAAACCAATTAATTCAGAATTTCTGGGGATGAGCTTCTCCAATGATTTTTTTTTTAAGTGCTTGTAATGTACAACTAGGGTTTCCATTAGGAGTCAAATCAGGGCGTCTTCTCAAACTTTGATGTTCTTACATGTACTGGGGGTATCTCATAAAATACAGATTCTGATTCGGGTCTGGGGTAGAATTTGTAATTCTGTATTTCTAACAAGTTCCCAGATAATGCCAATACTGCTGGCCTTGGTACAACACTTTGAGACACAAGAAACTAAAGGGCAAATTCCTTGAGATAAGGCCTCATTAAGTACTAGTGACCACAGAAGCTATCAACTTTGTAAATGCCCTAAAATGGGTGTATTCATTTGTTTTGCTATTAGTATTTCTTGGGGTAGAAAAAGACTTTGTAATAGATTGCTGAAGTAATAAATGATCCCAAACTTAGTGATTTTCAACAATAAACGTGTTCTATCTCAGCACTTTCCGTGGGTCAGGAATCTAGAAACAGCTTTCCTCAAGGTCTCATGAGATTGGAATCAGATGATGACGGGGCTGCATTCATCTGAAGATTTGACTAGGGCTATAAAATCCTCTTCCAAGATGGCTCACTCACACGGATGTTGGGAGGAGATCTCATTTCCCAGCCATGAGGATCTCTCTAGAATCTCTTGAGTGTTATCACTTTCTCCAGAGCAAGCATCCAAGAGAGAACATGGTGAAAGTCATGTCTTTCATGATGTAGCCTTGGAAGTTATATAATGTCATTCTCCAAATATCTTTAAAGTTACAGGTAAATCCAATTCAATGTGGGAGGAGACTATGCAAGGGCATGACCACCAGGAGTCAGGGATCATTGGCGCCATCTTGCAGGCAGGTAGCACAGGCTTCCATCATTAAACCTTTAGGCTTCGATCATTTTAATTTAAGACACTGACATAAACACATTTTCTCATTCAAAAATCCTTGATGAAAGATTTTGCCCTTTTAAAATAGTGAATACAATCTATAATAATAAAAGCATACTATGCTAATTAGACTGGACAGCCTATAATCTTCTGGACCAGTGGTCCTCAACCTTCCTAATGCTGTGACCCTTTAATACAGTTCCTCATGTTGTGGTGACCCCCAACCATAAAATTATTTTCATTGCTACTTCATAACTGTAATTTTGCTACTGTTATGAATCGTAATGTAAATATCTGATATGCTATATGTGTTTTCCGATGGTCACGACCCACAGGTTGAGAACCGCTGTCCGACGACGAAGCCGCAGCAGCGGGGGGCCAAGGCAGAGGTGGTTAGGGGAGATCAGTCAGGCAGGTGAGCAGTTAGGGGTGATCAGGCAGGCAAGTGGTTAAGGGGCTATGAGGCAAGCAGGCAAGCGGTTAGGAGCCAGTGGTCCCGGATTGCAAGAGGGATGTCCGAGGGGTCCCAGATTGCGAGAGGGTGCAGGCTGGGCTGAGCACCCCCCAACCCCCGTGCACAAATTTCGTGCACCAGGCCTCTAGTCTATAATAATAAAAGCATAATATGCTAATTATACCAGACAACCTTTTGGATGAAGCCGGGGCTGCAAGGGAAGCCCCAGTCCCGGGTGCCAGAGGAAAGCCGGTGCCAGTAGCCAAGGGAGGGAAGGCCTACTCTTGCACACATTTCATGCATTGAGCCTCTAGTGATATAATATGTCAGTATTTTGACATTATTCCCTAACATTATATCCCCAAGTTAAATAAAGATTACTGCTTTTAAAGAGGGGTAGAGAAAGAAGAGAAAGCTGTTATTTAGTTAAAAAAAATATTTTGCTCCTGCTCTTTGCATTAATCTGTTTGAAGAATTTTACCCTTGAAGCTCATATAAGAATTAAGATATAATCACTTGTCATGAGATATTTCCTTAGTGAATATAGTACATATCAAGACCCAGCTGGCAAAAATTTGAAGATTTATTGAGGTGGAAAAAATAGTTTAGCATTACAATTCTAATGCAAACAAAATGTGGGGCCTCTAGGTAGGCAACTATTAATTAATCTGGGTTACTCCATGATTTAAAATTCTCCCCTTTTAAGAAGTTGCAGAATTTGCTGAGTAAAATGTTTTAACTACCATTTCCTTTGTTGAGATGCCCCTTTTGTCCTGACCAAGAAAGAGTATCTGATTTCTAATCATTTGTTCTTCCAGAGATGGCCTAATTCTCCTTGCGGTTGCAAAGTCTACCAACTCTGTCTGCCAGGTCCTGATGTAAAAAGGGCTTCATTAGGAGTCCCTGACCCTGATTCTTCACCACACAGAAAATCCTTGATCTTAGCTCTCTGTGTGCTGTGAATTTTCTATACCTTTTTCTAACCCCTCTTAATCAAACACAGAGTACTTTAGAAATGGCTTCATTCCTATGCTACAGAGAATCCAAGAATTTCAATTCAAAATCTCTTTTCCATATTTTTTTTCACATGATTAGAAATGACTTCTTTCTGCTCTTGATATGCAATCATTTTAAATTTCACATCCAGTGGATGTGAACATTTTGTTGGTGATACCCAAGAAAGGGCTTCTCAAAACCATGCGGGCAGAAAAAGTCAACCAAACACGAAGGAGAAGTCAGCAGTATCTTGTTCTCTACACTTCTCTTTGGCTCACACAGATTAGCAATACCATTTCAGAGCTGCCTTTACCCAAGTGATAACTGCCTCTCCCTTGCTCACTTCCCCCACCTCCACCTTGACAAAGAAATACAATGCAAATTTCTATTTAGTATAATTTGTTTAAATGGGATTTTATTACAGATGTACTTCCTTGTGGATATTTACATAAGGAAACTTGCCTTGAATATCTCCTGGCTTTGCTTCATGCTACTTTATTTCTCAAATGCATTGGCAAATCTTTCATTTTGGCCAGAAATGTCTGCTTTTAAAGGTAGTTTTCCAGTGACTCCACTATTTATTATATAAAGGATGCTGACAAACCTTTTAGACTGCACTGTGCTGAGACTTTCTGCTGCCTCATGTTTTCATCTTTCCTGTTCACGACGTGCCAAGCATTTCTCTCAGAAGCCAAAGTGATGAAACAACTATTTTTCAGTGAAAGGGCCTGGTGACTAGGAACTTGAATTTTTGAAACTGAGCATTATTTTTTACATTATTGTCTTTAATGATTACAAATTCTAGTGTGTTCCGTCAAGCTTTAGTGGGGAAAGGGCATAAAGCAAAACTGTTCAGAAAGAGACTCTCCACCCTACCCCATAACCTGTAC